CGACAACAAGACCAAGTTGCGACAAAGAGGTCAATCTACTTTTATAAATCGAAAGGAGACTGCGACCATACCAGAGGCCACAACATCTTGGTCTTCATATCTTCTAATAAGTTTACTTCACCTAAGGTGATTTAATCACTAATAATGTAATTTTTCCCATACTAATATTAATGGTTTGAATAAGTGAAATTCAATGGCATAGTGAGACCTATATTTGCCAGCATTGTAAAAACTCAACTCGGTCATTAAAAAACCTTAAGAGAATAAGATGACCAGGTTCTAGTGCTTACCAATTATTGCAATCAATGCTAAATTGTGTTCCTGGTAGAGCCCCCATATCATCGATACCATCCGAAGATTCATTGCCGAAACTGACGTTAACTCTGATGGCGGCAGTCTTAAGATGTTCCGTCCAAGTACACCTACAAGCGGCCTTAGAAACGCAGATTCCGTCCTGCCAGAATTTTCCGTCCGGACACTGACAGCCTGGCCGACAGGCGTTGAGATAGCGAAAGTCAGCTGTCGGACAGAGACCAACAGAGGCGAGAGCGATGGTGTGGCATGTCAGGTGACAGACGTCGGTACAATTTGAATACTCCAATGGAGCAGGACATTCTATGGAGATTTATAGGTTGGTATGCATTGGCAATAACAATAGGAAAGTTAAAATCTCCTCCATGACTTTTGTAGGTCACATCTTAGAATTATTTCAAGTGGGTTTGGCCTTATAACACACAAAAAAGCCAGATAAAGTTCGCTTTTAATTGCTAAAGTTTGAGAGTCCTTAACAAGAATCAGATACCTATTAACAGCTATTTATCATAGACTTAAATAATAACTTGGTCCATCCTATGCTGATAAAGGTGAGGTTAGGAATGATAGTTGGACTCCATGCAATGAAAATAATAGAAGGCTTCATTACAGCGTTGAATTTTACTTTGATGTCCTGCCAACGAAACTTCCTCATCTGGGCTGTACTACAGTTCCGACCCCGCATAGATTCTCTCAGCACCCTAACTGGATATGAAAATGGGTCGTAACATTAAGCAGCAATAAAAAAAACACAGCTATCAGAACCAGTGGGTCACAGTGAAAATTTGACTTTTACTTTAATTCAGATCCTTTTAAATTGACATTTTTCTAGTAGAACATTTGTCAAAAAGGCAAACATGTAATTAGCAATCATGCTAAAAATATTGCCCCATATCTTAAGTGAACTAAGGGGATCCTGACTGTTATTCAGGATCTACTATTAATTTAGAAACAGACTTATTTGTATCGTGCTGTCGCGGTGCGTAGGGGAAACTTTATCTCTTTTAATGTATGACTACACCTATAATCGTCCGAATTACCTCGATACTGTTTATTTAATTTTAAATATTTATATTCATTCTTAGCATGTCAAACCAGGCCTGCTTGATGCCTTTCAACTTTACTGATAAATACCTCACAAATTCATGTAACCCATATGGAGCTTTCGCTAAATGAATATTTTTATGGCTTGTTGTTATTGTGATTCCACTTGGAGAGGATGTTAAATTTGGTGACTACTGGCCACCATAGGGATTTGGCATGCTTGTTTCAAGATTTTAACTGTTCGATTAGGTGAAGTTGTCCTCGCCACACTGTCCTACGACCCCGATGAATCCATGTCGGTCTCACGCTCCCAACTATAAGGCAACCTTCCTTCAGGTTCCAAGGTTTCATTAGAAATATATGATCATATCTACATCGGTCGGTATATCCCCTGGCCATGGTTCTAATAAAAAATTTCACAAATTTAAAACTGGGTAAAAAATTAGATACGAAGAAAAGTTGGGTTTCGAGGAATCTCTTCTTTCATAATTGTTGAACTTACTTCCATTCCGAGTGAAAGTGTTGGGTGAAGAGATTCGAAGGTCGGTTCCACCAGAAGACGACGGC